CATTACACTTCAAAGAATTCTTGATACAAGAATAAAGTTGCCCATCCATTTTAGTTGGCTAGTAGGTTTATATGACGACGCGTTCAACTGCTTACATTGTACAAAGTCGAATGAAAATATTATCAGTAAATGATGAATTGGAAAGGATCAGGAAGTATATAGTCTGACCTAATTTAAGGTACTATCCTGGAATTTACCTGCAGGTACTAAGGAAAAAAGTAAAATGCTCAGGATAGCTGAATCTGGTCCGAGGCTTGAGTCCGGGTCTGCCAAACATGAAGCAGAAATGCTAACCGTTCGGCTGCGGTGTTGGATGGAAGGCAGAAAAAGATCCCCTGCAGAGGTTATTTGGGGTTAAATGTGATGTGTGATCGTGGACGGAGAACTAATACGGACAAGGAAGTAAGCTGTCGGCGTGTTTTTTTTCACTGCATTTGTCAGAAGGACTAATGAAAATCTGAGCAAGGATATCAGGTTCTAGCTTGCTAATTTTCTGTAAGAAAGCAGTCGAATTTTTTTAAATTACTTAATGCATAGGGTTTCTCTGTGGCATCCCAACAATTACTCCATTTACACACAGAAGAAGGCAATGGCAAAGCACTTCTGGATCATCTGCCAAGAACGTATATGAACAGGTCCCAGTCCGAGAAAAGGATGGAAGGATCCTGTTCATATGGACCTGTCGTCAGACAGAACACTAAATAAAAAAATAATATAAATATGGAATATCATTTTCTTTTTTCGTGTGTCTTTTTTCTTAATCAACCCTTTACACTTCTAATTCAGGAGTTTAAGCTCTTATTTCATTTAATCTGTTGTAAATTCGGTGGAACTTCTTGGATGGCGGAAAGCCCTCCACAACTTACACCTCCAACAATTTCTGTAGGAGATTCAAACCCCTGATCCCAGTGTTCAATCGGTTCTATTCTGTATGCAGACTGCAGCACGCGTTTCTACACTGCAACGCGAAAAAGACAACGTTCACTGTTGTACTGTTTTATGTTTTTTTACTAACTTAACTGTTTCAGTCGCTGTAACGTCTCAGTTGATTTATAATGCTACTAAGGATAAATAAAAGAGATTCTGTTTCGTGCCTGCTTAAACCCTTTGGTGCCAATCCTAGAGCGAAAGCGTGTTTAATGCTCATTTTACGACTAGCTTACTGATTAACTCCTCTTAATGGAAATGTTTATCCCTGACGAGATAGAAAATTAGCAGCTATTTAATGCGCGAGAAGAAAAACTGTTTTGGAACAGCAGCTCGCAGTTTACTTTGGAAAACAGTGATTCTTAACCGTGATAAAACTTACGGTGTTGACGACCCGAGCTTGAATGTTTATTCTTTTACTAAACAAAAACAGATAATGAATCTGAATACTGAAAACGTGTGCGTTCGCTTATAAACTCTAGAATGGATATACCGAATTGCACCAAACTTTTTACGATTCTTTATTGAAACCAAGAAGAGATTTTAAAAAAGGTCAAAACTCAGAAAGACTGTCCTGGGTTCCAAACCCGGTGAGAATGGTTTCTGTACCTAAGCACGAAGGAAGAACATCGCCAAGACCAAAGCTGTTTTGATTACAGGAACAGCGGCCACAGCCCCGAAAATCTGTCATGAGTTCGAGTCCTGATAAAGATAATTTCTGTAGTTCGGAACACTCATTACGATGTGCTTGGCGACACATTTGATTGAGGCATTTTCACCTGTCACATGTGTGAGAGTCAAGATTCAAGAGATCATTATTTCTATGCTTAGAATCGCAAAATACCAACATGTGGGAAAACAGCAGGAGAGAAACGACTTCTCCATTCTGTTCTCTAGGATACATTCGGGGAGAAAATTCTCAAAAGTTAATGTCAGAACTGTTTCCCTGTCCTTGTGTTATGCTGTCACAAAATAAACGTGTAATATGCCGTCGAGTCAGCCAGTTTTCATAACTGATCTCCAAAATTATTGAATGGCTGCCGATGGTTTGAAGGTTCGTGAATACTATACGTTAAAATGCGATAAACTGCTCTTTTGGACATTATCGATCGTATAAATTGTAAAGTTGTTTCGAAAGCTGGATTTCTCTTTTGTCATCAGATAAAAAACTGGTAAAGGACCTATCAGTTGGGCCCCCTGGACCAAGTTTGAGGCTAGCTCAACCTGAGGGTCCAACAAACAGGTTTTCTGTTTCAATTTTGATTCGTATCAGTACATGAAGCTGATAGAAAATTTATCAAAACAAAAAAATAAAGTTTATCACAGCGATTATATTTACTGAAGAGGACCGGCGACACATTAAAAATCCCGAAGACGGCATTGCGGACGTGGGCCTACTTCAAGCTGGTGTACATCTTCCTACAATCCCCATCTGCAGCTTTGCTTGCTCTTATCTACGTCAAAACCCCGTTACAACGGGTTGCCTCGGGTTAAGATACTAGGACTGTCTGTTACGACTTACAGCAGAGCTATCTCACAATATACTTTTAGACACCCCACTGTGAGAACATTGTCGTTGCCCGAGTGTAATGAAACGGCTGTCGGTCTGTCAAGTTGTCGTTTCCAGTCCATCACACTCGACGTGTGGGCTTGTTCTGTATCCCAGAGCACAGGTGTAATGCAATGTGCAACGCAATTACTCGACCCACGAGGTTCACGGAACGAAACCCTACACGTCAGCTGATAACAGTTTCTTAACCGGGCTCGTTGGTTATTCGGTTATTTTACCACTTTGTACGTATCAGTTGTTGGCGGTATGTACCATCGAATATGGCAAGATGGTTAAGAATAATCATACTGATTCTCTTATCTGAATGAAGTGCATAAATTCATGTGTTGTGTCTGTATTCTTCCGCGAGTTTAATCGCCGAAATAATTTTATGGATTTCCATAAAATTTGGTAATCGGGGGAGGGGTCGTTTCAAGCCAGTATGCATTCTACTTTGTATGAAATTAAAATTAAAATTAATTGATTAAGTGATTCATTGTGCAAAGTTTGGCAGATAAAATACTGATCAAATTAAGAAGTGGATCATTTATTCATAATGTTTTAAATCTGACGCATATATAATAGAATACAAGAAAACAGTAAAAAAAATGTGCCGTATTATTTTGGCTGTCGTTTATTAGATTTGAAACTATATAACTGAATCTGCATTTTACGCAAACTTTAGATCATACCGTTCCAATGTTGCTGTTGTATCTGTTTTTAAAAAACCAGAGATGGGTTTGCAGATTCAAATATAGGCCTATTGTTGCAAAGATAACTAAACTGCAGATACCACAGTGCACAGAGTCAAAAAATTATTTTTCTATAATTTCGTTAAATATTAACAAAATCGATTTTCTTCAACAAAGCTGTAGATTTTAATGACGTCTCTATTTTATGTCCTGTATTATTTGTTCTTTGTGCGATAAGCCATTTGAAATCATTCTACAATGTTTAGCCTGAGATGCATATAAAACACAAGACACTCCAAAAGTAAATTCACCAAATTTGTGGAGCATTTTCGAAAACGAAACGTACGTACGGACAGACGGACAGAAACATATTATGAAGAAATGACGAATAAACGTAGGTGTTATACATTGTCGTAACTTTTGTTACAAGTAACTATTTTCATCAGAGTAATCTATAGATCAGTTACGCAGACAAAGAGGAAAACATGTCATAGAGCCAGTTTCGTTATCTTACGTAATTATCCCAATAAAACGCATTAACCTTGCGATAAGAGTAATTACGTGAGCGCATTGGCGCTACTGCCTGTAAGACCAGATGTGGGGAAGTGCTGTTGCCTGGATATCTACCGACTACAGTCGTGAATTGCAGGCAAGCTGTTAAACAACCCCTTTCTGGAATAAGAATGTTCTACTACGGAAGTATACTTTCGCAACACAAAGAGGCAAATTGGTCTATAGCAAACTATTTGGAAATATTTTCCACTTCTTCTACTCCCTGCAGTGTTTACATCGATAAGGACGTCACGCACTTCTGAAAGCACGGACATAATGGCAAAGTACACACTGGCAGGCTGTAGGCTGTTCCCTTGCAGGGAAGGCACGCGAAATACGCCACATCTGTATTTTAAACTTCGAAAATAGAAAACAAAGTTAATGTTATTGCTGATAACTCAAAGTACAGGATGAACTATGGAAACGACCATCGGATTTCAATTACCGGGAAGTCGTTGGTATTTTTCTCTTTGCTACCACGTCGTGTACAACTCGGCCTCCAGTATATTATCCCGTGAGTACCGGAGTCCATCTCCCACGAATTAAAGGCGGATGGAATTTTACTATTCGCCTTAAATAATGCCTAGGGACGATCCATTTACTTGTGTCTTTTTGACGTAGCGTGTAGTGCTACTTTTATGCTCATTATCATTATTAGGCCTATTATTATCTCCATTATTACTGAATACGCTGCTGCTGCTGATAATAATAATAATAATAGCAACAACAAATCACTCAAATCCGCGTTTCCAGTATTTTCACATGGGTTCTTTGCAAATTCTGAAATCTGGATGCTGTCAGTAGTGACAGGCTGCCAAGATAGTGGGACAGTTCTTGAAATAACTCAAAACATTTTCTTTTTCGGCGTATTTCCAGAAAAATTACTACTGTTTTTAATGTCTATAATTTTATAACAATTCAAACACCTGTCTACTAAACCAGTTTATCGAAAAGAAAAGAATAAAAGCTAGTGAACGGATATTAAATCCATTAACCAATGAACCAATAAACATGAGGATGAACAGCCCTCCGCGAGTGGGGTTAGAAGCCTCGAGCCCAGCCTGCGTCATACATAATTCTGTTACTTGCGACACCTCTCTGCTCACATCACCAGGGAATTCTCCCCTAACTGGTTACATAAACCAAAGAAGAAACTGGAGGTCAATTCGAAAAACAAGTTGAAGCATTAAGTCACGTGCGAGAATAGTTATCTGTTCGACGGGGGATCTCTGTACACACTGCCTCTCTTTCCCCCACATGAAGTGATAAAAGGCAGCCGATGAATAACTCACATCTTCATTTTCTCAGCCAGTTGTGTCAGCAATTCAAGAAGAGACAGCACATTCTAGTTTCAACTCATTTGTTTCGTCTGACGTGTGTAGCTTGCCTTAACAACATGTGGGGTAGCTGTACAGAACAGATTTCCAGCCCTTTTAGCTGACACCAGGTGAACAACACCGCCATCAAAACGTCATCGTATCATTTTATATTCAAATCCTGTAACAAAGCAACCAACTGTTCGTCTTCCGTCGAAACCAAAACACACTGCTGAAAGTAATTAATCCCCAGCCATACCATACGTCTCGTAATTATGCACGACGACTCAAGATTGATGATGACATAACAGATCACAAATTCATTCAACAGGTTTGTGATTACAGCAGCGCAGTGAACCTGTCATTTATAAACGGGGGGCAACGTAAGTTATTAAAACAGTGTTCGTTTCATTAGCCAATTGTGGTGATCATTCGCAACCTAAGTAGTAATATATTCCATTAATTTATTATAGCCTATAATCAGACAGTGGTGAAATGTGATTTTATCAAGAAAGTGAAGAAAAGAAGACTTGAAAGCAGGCATAAAATGCCACAGAATCATCATCATTCTAAAAAAACAGTAACCACAACGAAGGTATTCATAGAAAACGAAAATATATTTCGAGAACATATTTAAAAAACAAAATCACTTCAGTATTCAGTTATATACCACCGAAATGGGAACGATGAAATAAGTGTTGTGTTTTGTGTTTCTGTCATAAGAGCATCTTACATTTAAACCAATTTTGCTGTTGCAAAATGCCTCACAGCATTTTAGAACATAATACTTCGGGCTGAGAGATTTGTTTGCAACACTTAAGAGGTTTCGTAAAATAGAGTGCGAACATTCGTTTTATCGTACAATAGAGAATCAAGTAACATTTCAAACATCAAAGATAAGGTAACCATCATGTAGGAACGTATATCGAAAATATCGATGATAACGTATCCATCGCAGAAACCCCACTCAATAAATTAAAGCATATCGACATTTTGAAACGTAACCGACGTGTTTTACCTTCGCCGTCATGACTATGTATCCGTCGAAGACACCCGACGAAGAGCGGCAAATGATGCTTCGCCAACAGCGGGCTCATATACGGCAAGTTTTAGGAGTGCGACGTAGTTCGCTCTTGCTTATGCTGTACCTAGTATTCTACGTGGTGTACCTCATCACCGGGGGTGTAGTGTTTGCTGCTCTTGAAGCTCCAGAGGAGAAGTCGGTTAAATCTGCTCTCGCCAGAACAAGGCGGACATTCCTCGAAACTTATCCATGTGTCTCAGGTATGTTCAGCATTCATTTATTTCGCTCCATCTTCTACGGTGGGAATAGTGAGAAATGAAAACAGTCGCGACCTGATTTAAGACAATATTCCGGTAATGACCTGGAGATACTGAGAAAACCTACCAATGGTACCAGTGGCCAATGATCGGGACGAGATTTTCTTCGTGCCTCCTGGAAAAACGTATATGGCGTTACTGTTGCACGAACGTAATTAGTCGAAAACTATTAAACGTAATCGAGTTTCACAACGTGAAAAAACATATTAGTCTCACTAACAACGTTTATATTTGAAAACACCTAAGGGATAGGCCCTTCTTCCATGAAGCCAAATTTGTAAACATAAAATGTAGGCCTAGTGTTTAAAAATAACCCATTATCATTTCAATGGCATAAAAATATCACGGATGCAATGAACTATGACGTTTCTTGATTGCTTCCTTCTTTGTTGAAACGTCATGTACGTTTTCTCATTTTCAGGGCCAAA